TGACAAGAAAAACACCTATCATGAATGCTCCAAATATATTCACTGATGGGTCAAATAATGGTACAGCAGCAGTAGTTACCCCTGATCAAACTTTTACATTTTTAGTACCCAAACAATCAGCTCAAAAGGTAGAGCTTAATGCAGTTTTACAAGCTTTTGTGATGTTTAAAGATTCTGTATTTAATTTATTTTCTGATAGTCAGTATGTAGTTAATGCTATAGTATCTCTTGAAGATGCTGGTAGGATTTCCCCTTCTTCTACTGTTTTCTCTTTGCTTTCCACTATACAAAGTCTAATCTGGGACAGAAAAGATCCATTCTTTATAGGACATATCAGGGCACATACAGGATTGCCTGGAGCCCTTAGTTTGGGCAATGATTTAGCAGATAAAACTACACATGACATACATATTTTCTCTACACTAGAAGAAGCTATAAATTTTCATAAAAAGTTCCATGTCAATGCTAATACTTTACAAAAGCGTTTTAAAATAACTAAGGAACAAGCTAGACAAATAATAAAACAATGTCAAAATTGTGTGACCTTTTTACCACAAGTTAATCTTGGAGTCAATCCTAGAGGATTGATACCTAACCATATTTGGCAGATGGACGTCACACACTTGCCAGAATTTGGAAAATTAAAATATTTGCATGTTACAGTTGATACTTCTTCTGGATTTTTGATGGGCTCCCTTCATGCCGGAGAAAAAACTAAAGATGTTATAGCTCATTGCTTACAAAATTTTGCCACTGTGGGTGTTCCAAAACAGTTAAAAACAGATAATGCCCCTGGTTATACTTCTACCTCTTTTAAACAATTTTGCTCAACATTTGGCATTACTCATATAACAGGAATCCCATACAATCCACAGGGACAAGGCATAGTTGAAAGAGCTCATCAAACTATTAAAATGTACTTATTAAAGCAAAAAGAAGGAATTGGGAAGGGGTATATATTCCCCAAAGATAAACTTAAAATAACCCTTTTTACTCTAAACTTTTTAAATTTGGATTCATCAGGACTTAGTGCTGCGGAAAGGCATATGTGTCCAAAAAATGTACATAAGCCCAAGGTACTTTGGAAGGATATTCTAACAGGACAATGGAAAGGTCCTGACCCAGTAATTGTCTGGAGTCGGGGGTCTGTTTGTGTGTTTCCACAGGGAGAACAGCAGCCGATTTGGATTCCACAAAGATTAACTAAAGCGATTTCTACAGACCAAAAAGAAGATGATTTGGCTCAAATCCATAACAACTGATATCCAAAACTCCAGTTTGGCTATTCTTACATCTGCAACAGAACCAGGATGCTTTTTTCAATATCTATTTTATTATTGCCCTTTGCCATATCATGAAGTTCTATTTTGTTTTTTGAGCTCATACAGACCTAGGTTAATGTTTTGCTGATCAGTTCTATTTTTTGACTATAGAGTTTTTAAACATTGCAATGGAGATTTCACCTGTAGAAAGTTATAAGGCCTTTACTATAATGTTATGTGTTGTATGTATTCTATTATGTGTGCACACTTGTGTTTTGTGTTATATGTTTGAATGTATGTATGTCCATATATCATATATGATGAGCGCTCATGATAAAATGGATCCAAATATTTTTTTTTTCACGTGATTTATATGGTTTAATTTAAATTGGGTAAACAACTGTTGAGGATTGTTTTAATATGTAAACAAAAAAGAAGGTTAACAGATCTGTTTGTTTACTTTCACCTTTCCTTTTCATTATATTTAATAATTCTCTTAAAGATAATGTAAATTGTTAAGAAAATTGTTTTCTTTTAGTGCCTTCTGTAATGTTACATAATTTTTTCTTTAGCCATTATTGCCAGAATTCCTATCTTCATCCCAGTGCTGGTGAAGTCAAAGATAAAACCAATCTACAGCTTCTACAATAGCCATCACTGAACTGCTTGCAGAACTTGCCTGGACACATTGTGAGCTCACCTGTATGCATTGTGAACTATCTGTTGGTGCAGCGACTTGTGGTAGTGTTGGGGTATTTTTGCTGATGATGTCATTGGTGGTACAATTTTTCCAAAAGGAGCCGTCAACTGGCTTGGTGTATCTTCCTCCCTTCTGCTTGTCATGATCGTCCAGCTAAAATTTGGGGGCCAACAGAGGTGAGGCAAAGAACCTCACCCCCCCGCTGGTACAAAGACCTCTCCACAGGTGTGGCTGTATACTGGACCGGTAGTCAGTGACGGGTAAGATCCAATTGCAATGGTACCAACCTAAGGACCATATGTACTATTGGACAACCTAAGGCAGGCACGGTCCCTAAGCCACATGCTTGTTGTTTAAACAGAGAGGGGGAGATGTTGAGAGCCACAGCCGAAGGGGCCCCAGCAAACTTCCAGCTGCCAGCAAACTTCCAGCTGCCGGCTGATGATTGGCTCACAGCGGCCCCAGCAACATCTAGCTGATTGGCTCCTCGGCCCCAGCAACATCTAGCTGATTGGCTCCTCTGCGGTGATGCTCATTGGGCTGTTTCCCTGCCCTTTCAGACCACGGAGCTGCTCATTGGGGGACTTTTTTGGCTCCGCCCACGTGACCCAGCCAATCGGCCTCAAGAGCAGGAGGATTGTGGGAGGTCGGGAGAAGCTTGTGTGGGAGAGAGAGGCTTGTGGAAAGCCGGTGGTGGCAGTTGAGGCTCTGAGGGTTTTTCCTGAGAGGCTGTTTTATTTGGCGTGTGTGGTTCTAAAAATAAAGTTAGTTTCTTTTGACAAGTGGCTCCTGATTGTGCCCAGCCAGACTGCGGCAGACCACTGTGTCAAATATGGTCAAATATGTGCCCTGTGATTTGCATATCTTGTGGATTCTTGTCAGGAAGGAATCATTCTTACTGATTAGAAAGTAGGGTCATAAAGGTCAGAGGTCTGCTGCAGGCCACAGCCTGGGGAAATGGCACTGCCAGGACACAAAACCAAGTTTCTCCACTCCTGTTGCTAGGGGCCCTTCTTGCTGCTCTGCATCTCACTTTGGACTCTGCAAATTCCAGATGCCTCCACAGTACTTGAGACATGCCTCTTTCCCCATTTGCTCTTAAAGTCCACCCCCTCTCTGCACTGTGCCTCTGGCTAGCAGGAGAACTTGCAAGCCAGAGCTGATGCCCCTCTGAATGTAAATGCTTCAGACATTTATTGTTTTCGCAGTGTTGCAGAAGGAACCCAAGCTTTGCGCAAGCTAGGCAAGTGTTCTACTACTGGGTCACACCCCCAGCCCAGGCCAGGTCCAGTGTGTTCTAATCCCATGCTGACCCCTCCTCTGAGGCTGGTGGACAGAACACATTGGTAGTGTTGGAGTGAGAACTGGTGGCAGGCCCATGGGTGGACAGGCACCTGTGTCTGTGTGCTGGTACTGGCTCTGGCTCATGCGTTTTGGGCACGTCTCTCCTGGCCACTATCACTTTATTCCCCAGGCTTAGTGAGATGCTAAGGGCCTGGTCATGCTGATGGTGGCAGTCTTGGTACCTGGGAATCTGCACACCAGCACCTACAAAGCTCTTGGTGCACAGTGGGTCTCAATAAATGTTACCTGAATGAATGTAGGTAGCAGGCAGACTCTGAGCATATCAGAAGTGGACAAGAGACTCCAGTGTGCTGGGGACCTTAAATCCAAGGGAAGGACAGATATTGGAACCTGTCCAACACCTGATACTTTTTCATCTTCCACTGGACCAGATATGACTAAAACTTCCGAGCACCATGGTGGTTTGCGAACTGCCATGCCCCAAATATTTAGCCATCTAAACAAAGATGGGTGTGTGTGTGTGTGTGTGTGTGTGTCCTACTTCTTTAAAACAAATTTTCACTCAGTCTGCTGTACTTTTCAAATATTTACTCTGAACAGACTAAAACGAAGGACTCCTCAACTAAAATTGAGAGCAACTTCCTTGTGCTTAGAGTAAAGTCTAACAAGGTTGCAACCCCTGGCCCGCTGGTGCCAGAGCAGCTGAGACGGAGGCTGTCCCCCTGCCCAGGCCTGTCCAGCACAGACTAACCAAATCTTCTTGCCTTCTGTCTCACTTTACATCTCTTCTCCTTTATTTTAAGTCTTCCTTTCTCCAGAGCTTCCCAAACATGGAAATTTTTTAAACAAAAAATTTTCTTCTATCTTCCTTCAAACCTGGCTTTGAATAAAACCTATTTTCCTACCAATTAGACTCTGAGATCTGTGAAGCAAGGTGCAGAGCAGCCTGCCTTCTCCCTGACCAATATTAGTGCTGGCCAGAAACAGAGCTACAGTTAAAGATGAAACAAGAAAGACTCCTCGAGGTACTAGGGAGAGCTCACGCTATGCAGAGTCTCCCATAGCAGAGAGCCTGAGCTTGTGCTTGGAATAACATGCCCTTCCACACAGGGGGCGAAATGGTGAAGGCAGCCAGATCTAGAAGTGAGCAACTCACTGACACAGTGAGACCTTGGGGTCCCCTCAAGTCCCACCATCACTCTGACAGTTTGCACCAACTGCTGTCAAAGGAGTCTCCTGCATCTTCCTCTTAAATCTCCTTCTCGGATCTGAGAGGACTATCCTGAAGCATACCCCCAAAGGATGGCACTTGTAACGATCCTTATAAAAACCTCAAGTTTCATTTGGATTACCAAGTAAAAGAGGGGCTTGGGTCAACATTCCCAGGACAGCAAAGGTGATGACAGGTCGGAAAGGAGCCATGATGATCCCCTCCATGGTATCTGACTGTTTCTAATCACTCTGCTCCCAGCCCCAGGGACAAACGCCACAAACAACTCACCAACGTGGTGAGGGAATTTATCTGAGAACATTTGGAAAAAGGATCACTTAAAAGGGGAAACAAATAACAATCCACTTTTCACTGCTGGCCTTCACATGGCAATAATTTACCAGCATTCCTTCAAGTCCCAGCAGCTTTGCAGCTCACAGCCTTTAATCTAGAAGCCAAGCTCTGGCTCAAAGCCACGCCTGTAATGGATGAATCAGCAAAATGAATTGGCCGTCAACTGTGTCCTCCAGCAGGTCCAGCTTGCCTGTTAGAAGCAGCATGAAGCAGGCTGCTCTGTAACTCTAACCTTCTCCAAATTCGTCAGGGAAATGATTCAAGGCCTCCTGTGGATCTTGCCACTTTGTCAAAGCCACTGGGGAACCAAACACACTGGGAGTCCACCCTGTTTCCTTGTGGACGAGCAAGGCAGCTCCTTTCACGTAAGGACCCTGCCCACTCCCAGCTCCACTTGCCTGGGCCACTGTCTCTTGACAATCTGAACATAGCATGGCATTCAATCTTCAGGAAAGCCCAACCCCAAGGGAGGAATGCTCCAGTGGTCACACAAGAAAGAGACTGAGCACCAGAGAAGCTAAACAGCTGGCCGAGGCCTTGTAGGTAAGCAGTGAAGCTGGTTTAGTGCCAACACGTGAGAAATATGTAGATGTAGATATAGACATGGATATTTTGAAAAACATCAAAATACTGCCAAGTATCTGTCTGCTGGGTATTTAACAGTATTTTGTTTATTGAGGTTCATGACTGTCATATAAAATGCTTCCTGGTCTGGGGATGTGGCTCAAGCAGTAGAGCACTCTCCTGGCATGCGAGCGGCCCGGGTTTGATCCTCAGCACCACATACAAACAAAGATGTTGTGTCCACCAAAGACTGAAGAATAAATATTAAGAGATTCATTCTCATTCTCTCTCTCTCTCTCTCTAAAAAAAATGCTTCCTCTATTAGGAATTTTATTTATTTTTTGTTTTTTTTAAAACATTTTTTTTTTAGTTGTAGATGGACGCGACATCTTTGTTTTATTTATTTATTTTTTTTGGTGGTGCTGAGGATTGAACCCAGTTCCTCATGCATGTGAGGCAAGCACTCAACCACTGAGCTGCAACCCCAGCGCCTGTATTCAGAATTTTAAAGAATTACTTTAAGTGTTTAGGTTTTTTTTTGTTGTTGTTTTTATAAATCAAGAACTGTTTTATAAAGTCTTTCCAGCTAGGTTGACAGATGCATCATGTTAATGGACAGAAAGACTTAACATAGTCTGCAATGGTTCTACAGATTTAGTACAACTCTGGCAAAATATGACAACATTTTTGTGGAAATGAAAAATAAAAATTAAGATAAAAAATCTCAACAGGAAAGAGCCACAGTTGTGAGGAACTACAATTAGGACAGGGGAAGGATGCCAACCTCAAACACTATGAGGGAATTTGGGGAGGTGATGAAAGAGTTTACATCTTGATTGTGGTGGTGGTTACATTGCTGCGCGTATTTGCTAAAACAGTGAGCTTTACAAATACAGTTATTTTATTACATGCAAATTATAACTCAACTATTCTGAGGAACCTGAAAGATGGATTCTAAAATTTAAATGGAAGAACAAAGGGGTCAAAAATAGCCAAGAAATTTCTGGAGAATAGGAAGGGACCTTTCTTACCAAATCAGACAGCTCACTGTGAAGCTGCAGTAATTAAGACAGTGCAGTAAGGGGACAGAGATAAGCAAACTGGCCAACAGCATTGAAGTAAGAGCCTAGAAATTGAATTATACATCTGTGAAACTTTGATTTTTGACAGAACAGCCTAGAAAAATGAAGAGCTGGAAAAATTGTTTATTCATAGGAAAAAAAATGAAATTGGATTCTTAGTCATACCAGGCCAAAAATCCACTCCAGATGGATGAAGAACTTAAATGTCAAAAGCAAACTTTGAAACTTAAAAAGAAAATGTAAGTGAATATCTTTCCGAATTTGAAGTTGGGAAGAATTTATAAAGATACAAAAAGGTTAAGCATAACAGAAAAGATCAGGAAGCTTGGCTATATTAATATTAAAACTCCCATCCATCAGAAGACATTTTAAAGAGAGTGAATTTACAAACTGGGAGAAGATATTAGCACGACATTCATCTGACAAAGATCAGCAGCAGAATACATTTTCTACAAATAAGTAAGGAAACAACAGGAAAATAGGTAAAAAACATGCAAATCATGCATCTTCGCAAAGGAAGCATGAAAAGCTAAGAAATATGGCAAGATGCTCAACCTCAGGTACTAACAAATTAGGAGCACAACAAACTAACATTTTATTCCTATTGCACTGGCAAAAATTTAGAAGACTGATAAATACCATCCATTGGGATGTGGAAAACAATCTAGTGTTCTCACTTGAAGTTGAGCATTACACACTCCACCCATGACTCAGCAGGTCCACACATCTAGATCACCCCAACATATGAGTGTAATGAGATAAATACAGGAGTTTTCAAAATAGTACTGATTATCACAGCCAAAAGTGAGGAAGAGACAGAGGGAGGAAGCAATCCAGGTCCTCCTCAACAGGGGCACAGATAAGCTGTAGATAGTTCACACAATGGAGCGCCATACAGGAGAAAATAAAAATGAGTGACAACTGTGTACAATAAAATGCATGGAACTCAGTGATGTGATGATGGGTGAGAAGTGCAAATTCTAGGAGTCCCTTTTTTAAAAAAATCAAGTTCAAAAACAAATACAAATATGGACATACTACATATTGGGGGAAGTGAGGGAGGGATAGCAAATATGAATGATGGGCACAAATTTTAGACAAGGGGCTGCCCCTGGCGGCAGCAGAATGGCATAGGGATAAGCCATGCTTTTGTTTTTTGGGGGAGGGGTGGTTTCACAGATGTCCATTACGTTTTTTTTTTTTTAATCTTTATTGTATTTTATGTGGCACTGAGGATCGAACCCAGTACCTCATGCATGCTAGGTGAGCACTCAACTACTGAGCCACAACTCTAGCCCTCCATTAAGTTTTAAGCAAACAGCATGTCTAGGTTTGCCATCGTCTACCAGGTCCAGCTACTAAGGACCATTTCCAATTCAGACTAAGCTAGAAGGTCTCGTTAAGACCAGCCAAGTTACTCCTGTTTCAATGACTCTAAGGTTCCACAAGCAGAGCCCCTGAATGCCACATGGGTGTAAGCAGGTGCAGTTGTGAACATGCCACTTCTTGGTCCTCCTCGGCTGCTAAGGGCAGTGCTGCAGTCTCATTCTCAGACTGCTGGAGTCAGTGCATCACTGGGGTAGGTGGGGAGACACTAGGAACCACAGAGGCAGTTACTCACCATTAGTCCTGGATTTTGTTGCAATGGTTAAATTCAGCCAATATCAAGTTCTGCCCGAGGGAACAGCCTCTATTCTTATTAATACAGTGGTTTCCAGAAAGAGAGGTATTTATTAGATACTCTGCCAACCACAGAAAATCCAAGAAGCATTACCTTGACTTTACAGATAAGGAAACTGAGTCAAGAAGTGCCTATGCCAAGGTCCCGACGATTATAAGTGTTCAGTCAGGTGCAGTGGTGCATGCCTATAATCCCAACAACTTGGAAGGGTGAGGCAGGTAGATCACAAGTTCAAGATCAGCCCTGGCAAGTTAGGGACACTCTGTCCCAAAAATAAAATAAGAAGGGCTGAGGATATAGCTCAGAGGTAGAGGGCCCCTGGATTCAATCCCCAGTACCTGCCTCCCTCTCCCCAAAAAAGATTACAAGTGTTTAGGCTGGGATCCAGGCCAAATCCTACAACCTCTTCAAGACACCACACAGCCTGGCAGAATCTCTGATGGCAGCACTGGAGGTGACACAAACATACATCTGTCTGCGGGAGCATCAGAAAGTCTGTCCATCTCTCCACACGAGTTATGTGTAAACACCAGCAGGGGTGTGTGCTGACCACCCCCAGGGTGACACGTGCAGAACCAAGCCCAACTACCCTTTGCCAGAGTCTGTCAAGGTGGACAGGGCCAGCTTCTGATGCCTGCACCTCGATCTCTCACTCTCCTAAGCTACCTGCCTGGGCCACACCACATCTGGCTGTCGTTCTGGTTTGTACCTCATCCCTGAGAGAAACCCAGTATTGTGTGTGTGTGTGTGTGTGTGTGTGTGTGTTTGCTTACTTAAATATATCAAACACAAAAGTTTTCTCATATCCCATACAATTCTGATTGGGTTAGGGTTTACAACAGGTTAGGTGCTTCTTCAACTTTACCATGCAAGAGAATAGAGGGCTTTACCACAAATTCTGTTGATTTTTTACAACTTTAAAACTTTTTTTTTTTTAAATCGAGTCAGGAAAGACTTCCCAGAGGACACTGCTTGAATTGACTTTAAATCTTTTTTTTTTTTAAGAGAGAGCGAGAGAGAATTTTTTAATATTTATTTTTTATTAGGTGATTAACGATGAATGTTCAAATTATTTAAACAGGCTCTTCCCACACTTCCACAGAAGCTCCTCTGTCCAATTATTTGTGTTTGTTTTAACGACAGCAACTGGAAGAGTTTTCAAAATAAAATCTACCTTCATCTCTGTAACAACAGACATATGGTTGCATTAAACCTGAATAAGAAGTTGGTATATTAAAAAAAATATTTATTTTTTAGTTTTTGGCAGACACAACATCTTTGTTTGTATGTGGTGCTGAGGATGGAACCCGGGCCGCATGCATGCCAGGCGAGCGCACTACCACTTGAGCCACATCCCCAGCCCAACTTTAAAACTTTTAAAGAAAGGAGTTAAAAACAAAGCAATGCAAAAACACCCAATCCTGTTGGTCACGATGGATATTTTCCTGACTTGAGAGGGATGTTATTCCCCATCAACCCATCCAAGTACTAGGCAGACACTCAGTGCCTGCAAAAATCAGATCTTCCAGACACATGGTACAGACATTTCCAAGGTACTCAAACAGGTCAAGGAGGACAGATCACCCAGAAAGGGGCAGCCTTCCATCCAACCCTCTGCTGCCAGGAGGCATCCTCCTCAGTGACATCTGCAAGAGTGTTCCAGGTGAAGTGCTAGTCCTGGCCCAATGCACAGGGCCTTCGACGATCTTGCGTACCTCCCTTCTGTCTTCCCAGGTCAGTTTGTCTGTCTCCCCAGCAGAGCCAGCTGTTCTGTGAGGGAAGGGCCAGGCTTGCTCCTGCTGCAGCACATGGGATCTACCCTGCCGTTTTGGCAGGAACTCAGTATATGGGGATGGGAGGAGTGGAGGGAAGAAGCACAGTTGTTATGTCTGTTGAGAAACCAGAACAAGTATCTGCTAGGATTTCATCTAGAAACTCCATGCTGGAACCTGGTGTGTGAACAGAGACTGGACTGGAACAAGAGGCACTGGTTCTAAACAGGGGCTTCCCTCGGGCAGTAACCATTGGAGTGCATCGCCACACCTGAGCTGCGAAGCAACATGGAGAAGAGACAGACCACTGCCGCTCACAGGCAGCACAGTTCCGTGAGGCTGCACTGGCCTCAGCCACATGGTTTGGACTGAGGGCTTGTGATTCCTCGTTCCTGATTCTTCCTTTCATATTTTTCACATTGTGGGTGTTTCTCCAACAAAGAACTCTTCTTTTTTTTTTTTTTAAATACTGAGGCTGAAAGAGTGAAAACTAAGGCAATGAAAGCAATCCAAGCTCCCTGGAGGGACATGAAGGCAGGCAGGAAGGGACCAGGTTCACTCCTTTACTCTAAGGTGCCACAGGAGCTCAACAGACAGGAGGCCCCTGAAGGAAAGAAGTGAGAGGCAGGCAACAGGCTTGGCAATCAGAACAAGAGCAGTGAACAGCGTTCACAGCCTCGGCCATGCACACACCCCACTCATGGGGCCCCACAATTGCCACGGCCACTTCAGGGAAGAGCTGAGAGAAATCACACTGGCAGTCGAAAGAGCCAGGCAAAGGTGTGACCTGGTTCTGCCACTTACGACAAGTCACGCCTTGCCTTGCCTTGCCTCTGCTCTCTCCACGTCACCCCTCTCAACTAAGTAACAACAGGCCACTATTCCCATGTCTTACCTCACCTTACAAGTCTCTAATGAAGGCCAAGGACATGGCAGAGAAAATAGTCCTTCATAGTGGACACAGGCTGGCATGAGGATAACGGAGAAGCGTAATTACTTAAATCCTACCAAAGGGAGGTCACAAAATCAAATGGGAATCCACGGGTGCTGAGGCCGCCCTGGCCAGGGTGCCAACCCTGCCCCATCTTAGTTTGTGTGACATGTCTGCCTGGCCCTCTGTTTCTTAATCCACTAAATGGGCATCTCTACCTACTTTACCAAGTTGTTGGGAAGGGCACAGAGTATCATGCAAAGTTTTTAATACAGAGCTTGGGACAAAGGAGATGCTTAACCAATGATGTGACTGCTCTTAAACCATGAGTACACATGTCCAGCAAAGCCAGACAGCCACAGACGTGCTGATTCCATACACTGCCACATGACAGAAGTGAGGTGCCTGGCAGACCTTGGGCCTGCCTCACTCATGGAAATACCCCTATTATTTAGGATTTGAATGTAATCTAGAAGTCTGGACAAGTATAAAATGAAAAATGAAGTATAATTTTTAAAATTTTTACTCAGACTAAAATAGCCAATTGATTTGTACCACCTCTCCTGACACCACCTCTCCTGACACCACCTCTCCTGACACCTCCCCTCCTGACACCACCACCGTCTGCTTTTGAAACATTCATCTCATTCATTCAACAAACCCTGGCTCTGGGTTCTGTGCTGGGTCCTGGGTGTGGCAGAAGAGAAGAGCTATTCCCTGCCTTTAAGAAGCCCACTATGGCTATGGAGGAGGTGAGGGGAAAAGGCAAGGCTGTGGGGAGCACCGTGGGCAAGAGTCAGGGCGAGAAGTGTGGTCCTGACATGGGCAGGGCAGGAGGAGAGTACCAATAAATAGTGAAGGGCTGACAGGGAGCTGGCCCAGGCCACTGCCTCAGCATTTAAGGAATGACATCATTAAGGAGCATGGTTGCCATTAACCAGACTGGTGTTTTCCTTTTTCGTTTCATGGCATGGTTACAAGCTAAAAAGTCAATTAAAAATAAATAAAGCTCCCAATATTAAGTACTTACTATATGTTAAGAACTATCCTAACTGCATTACAAATAAATATGTTCAATTCTCACTTGTTCACTTATCCATCTATCTACTCACTCGTGAACAAACAGACCATCTTCTGGATCTACACAATGGGGCTCAGTCCTGTGCTCCCCGGGAGGGAGGCAGGGAAGGAGGGAAGGTGCGCAGACCAGCAGCAGGAGCTGAGGGGGAAGCAGCTGCGCTGGAGTGTCTCCTGGGGAACTGATCAAGCCCAGACACAAGGACAGCTTCCCTAAGGAAAGACGCTAAGGTTTTTGTTAGGACTTGGGAGTTGGGAGAACAGCACTATAGAAAACACTGAAGGTGAAGAGTTGTGTTCCAGGCCCAAGGAATATGAAGTGAGAAGCCTGAGGTAGGCCACACAGTCAGGACCCAAGAACCAAATGACCATGATGGCCAACCCCAGAGAGGAAGCAGAAAAGCCTGAGGTATGGGGGAGAGACGGGCCGAGGGCACTAGGCCAAGTGCAGTACCCGTCTCCCAAGGATTCGTCAGGAGGCATTCATGATCAGATGCCCTCCTGACTACGATCTGGGGAGATAGCAGGAAGTCAGTGCAATAAATAAGCTGAGAAAGCTGGTGGCTCCTGTCAGATGAAAGAGGTGGGGAGGTCGAGAAAAAGTCAGAAGGGAGGACAGTCCTTGGAGTCCCAGCCTGGGTTATACCCTTTAGGGCCTGGAGACATGAGAGTGGGGCACACTTAGGAATGGGGAAGGTGGATGGTGGCTCTGAGGTACTAGGAAACATCCAGAAGAAATGTGGGGTGGATAGAGAGGATCTTTGGAAATCACTGATGTGTGAAGGGGGTTGAGCCCTGAGAAAAGGCAGAATTGCGAATGAAGAATGCACAGAACAAGAATTCTTCAGACTGAACCCCGGAGTCACCAACATCGAACCATCACGTTGATGGGAGGAGCATGCGTGGGGGCCTGGGAAGTATGGCTGAAAGATGGGACACAAAACTAGGAAGCAGGTGTCACGGAAGCCCAGAAAACACTGCTTCAGGAAGGTCAGTGGAGCAAGCAAGCGGGTGAGACGGGAAGGCTATGTGCAGGGGGCCACTGGAGGCCTGGGGAGGAACCAGCTCAGGGACGTGGGGACACCACAGCTAGGACCCAGTGTGCAGCCAGAGAGGGGGTGGTGACTACCAAGAAGCCTCAGGAGAGGAGGCAAGCTGGGATGTGGGAGGTCTTCTGAAGGAGGGAAGTGTCGCAGGTTGTCAGGCTGCTGGAAGAAGCCAAAGCCTGTGCGGGGGAGGGCCAGCGCAGGCCTCTGGAGGAGGTGGCCCAGCTCACAGGAGGGAGGGAGCAGAAAGGAGCACCCAGGTGTGGCTGCTGGGACAGGACTGCAGGCTGCACTGAAGCTGGCTGCCCCCTGGGTGGAGGGGCTAGGTCTTCCCAAGAGCACAGGGCTGAAGCCTGGGAGGACAAGAGGGGCAGAAAAGGCCGTGGAGCCTTCGTGGCAAGCAACCTGCCTGATGCTGCTTCTCCTCAAAACAGTCACCACAAGGTCACAAGTGTATTTCCACAGACGAGAAGAGAGGCTGAATAACCTGCCAAAAGCCTCAACAGCTCTCGGCAGGGCTGGGGTTTGAGTTTTGACCCTGCTTTTGATGACAACTTTAATGGATCCTCAAGGCAGTGAATGCAGCAGCCGCTCTAAAATGCAGTCAAGCAAAAGGAGTCTCACTGCTGGCGCAGCTCCTCGCAAGGGGGACAGCAGCACAGAGGTGGTAAGAAGGAAGCTTAATATGGAATCATGTAGAGACGATGAAGTTCAGGAAAAAGTCTTAACTACTACTACTTAAAAAAAATTACTACTACTTAAAAAAAAAAAAAGAAAAGAAAAAAACCTTTGTTTTTTTAGATAAAACACACAACTTGAAATAGAAGTTGGGAAGCAATTCCACACTTAACAGTCTTGAGGGACGTAACAGACAGCTGAGAGACCTCAGCAATTTACAACGCTCTTCACACTTCATGGGGGAAAATTAAGATTGATGTCTCAACTGCACAGGAATAATTTAGGGTAAAATCAAAGATCTCCTAGATCATGTGAAATGGCACATTCTAAACGTCAAGAACACTGAATAAATTCTACTCTGAATAAATTCCACTCCTGGGAAGACTAACTAGTTCATGTTTTAGTTATACTGTTTTATAGCAATAAGTTTAAGGACTGCTTATATACATACCATCTAGGAGTAAAAACAGGCAATGATCATGGTTTATAGGGAGGTCACTCTGTACCAGGTGCACAAAAGCTCTAATTCTAATGCATCATCCTATAATCACCTGTTATATTGATTTTAATATATTCTCTTTCATCTCTAATCCTACCTCAACAAAACAGCCCTATTTTGAATATGACAGAACAGAGCCTCAGACAGGTTAAGCAACTTGCCTGATGCCACAGTGCAACAGTATGGTAAATGGCTGGCATTTAACCCAAGGCCGACACAGTCTTTTTTTGCTTCATCTGAGTAGAGCACGGGATGGATTTTAAACTGCAACAGTATCACCAAACAATCCCTCCCACAGGAATCTACCTGACAAGGTTTCAATTCTGCAGCTCCTCCCTCCTCTTTTCAATGCTGGTAGTACCAGCACTGGTGCCCTGACCCACTAATGGGCCCTGACCATCTGAAACATGCCATGCACAGCTCACTGACATCATTCTATGCCACAATGCACTTTGTGTTCTAAAAGGTTAATCAACAAAAGAAATTTTAGGACACAACCTATTCAGCACCTGTGTGTAGCTGAACTGCTGGCTGTTGGCCATGACTGGGGCCACAGTTGAATTTGATAGGGTCCTTTGGTCAGATAGTTCTTGCCAACAGTGCTTCTGTTTCAGATGTCAGATAGAAGCAGACACCAAGTAAAAGAACCCCCCACGTGCAATCAGACTGCACTCCTGGACCACTTAACCCTCGTCACTTGTTGAGCTACTTATGAAGCATTTCACCCACCACAGTATTAGTGATATGATGATAAAGCATAAGAGAACCATCTTTTTCCACTTCCCATAATCATGTGTGCAAAAGGCCTGACTGAGCACACGTTTACAGTTTAAAGGTTTTTCAATAGCTGAAAAGCTAGAATCCTGTCTGTTTATAAGCTAACAGAGACATATTAAATACCTCTCTGTGAGTGTTTTAAAGTGGGTATCATTTGCTAGAAGAATTTACCTCTACCTTATGGCTCAGCTTAGTCATCAATTCAGGAGGAAGAGCCGGAACTGGAGAGAGAACGAGAATGACAGGTCCTTATCCACCAAGTAGGGCTGAGCAAGCTCACCTGTAAGGTGAGTAACTGTCCCAGGAAGAAAGGTAGCAGCCACCAAAAGTAGAGCTCCCCACCTATTAAGGAAGGAGTCCTAGAAATTCCATAGAAACTGAAAATGGGACAACTCTAAGGTTCCTCCTCTCCACTCAGTGTTCCCTGGCTGGCTCCAGTCCTTCTAAGAACAAGAGCCCTCTCCTTAGGCCTTCCTCTCCTCTTCTCCCTGCCCTCCACCCCCCCCCTGCAATCCAGCTGCAGATGCAAAATAGTCTGGTACAAGGGGGAATGACATCTTTCTTCAGATGGCAGGTTGCCCCAGGACAGTGACATAGGCTTAATATAAATGGCACTATCTGATTTCAGAAAGTCTACAATCATACAGCTGCAAAAGATAAATAAGACTGAGGAAAGTGGTTTTACTTTCTGCATTAATTTTATTCATTGCCCTTTAATGAGATAATAAGCCCGAAATCTATTCTGCTTCACTGGAGGGTTCTGTCCGTACATTACACACTAAAACCCTAAGGATTACCAAATGTCCCCCAAAGTTGGAATGAAACAGAGTAAGAATTATTTCGGTGTTATGGTCCCCATCTGTCTCGGCACTTAACACAATGGTTCTATACTCATATATATTTTTTTCCTTTTCAACTGCCAAATCACTTCCTCCAGTGCTTTCTGATTTTAGGAAGAGAAATCTACCTCTTAGTTTTCTTCTTCCTTAAGAATGTTCCAGCTACGGTTGTTGTTGCTACCCCATCAGATCCACAGGCAGCTCTCAGGTCTGGACTGGGGCATGTTAAGCTGCCATAATGACAAGAACCATACAGAGTGACATTTCTCTTGAGTCAAACACATATCGACACAGAGAGCAGGAGAAGGAAGAAAAGGAAGAGAGAGGAGGGAGGGAGGGAGGGACAGAGAGGAAGGGGCAGCTTTCCCTTGGATGAGTGCTGCGAAAAGGGAGCAGCTCCCCAAATCCAGAGAAGTAACCCGTTTTTCACCACTCCTACACATTAAAAGGATCTCTGAAATTCTCTGCCAACAGGAGAAGAAGATTTTTTTTTTTTTTTTTAAAGTGGCACTGGGGGCTGGAGTACTGCTTAGTGGTAGAGCATGTGCTTAGCTGGCAAGAGCCCAGGGTTCCATGCCCAGCCCCACACACTGTGCTACTGTCACCATACAGCTTTCCTGCCTGGAGCTGTTAGTATCTCTAAACTGTTCTAAATATTCATTTTGTTTTCTACATCCTGTGGAAAAATTAATGCAGATCTTTTTGTCTATTTGGACACCCAATGCAAAATCAACTGACTGAATAAAAAAGAGTCAACTCTAACATTTATTTATTTATTTTTGTAGTACTGGGAGTTGAACTCAGGGCCTCACACATGCTAGGCAAGCACTTTGCCACTGAACTACATCACAAGCTCTGAGCCTAATATTTACATGTAAAAAATTAATAAATGTGATACCAATACTTAAAAATATCTTTGAAAAAATTTTAACATTGTATCTTAAAATTCTCAATGACCCAAGGACTTCCTACAATGTCAAAATACTTAACACAAATTAGGAAATTGAAAAACAATTTCTAAAAGTCATGTATATGCAAAGTAGAACACAGAATGCCATTTTTTTGTTTTTTTTTTTTTGGTACTGGGGATTGAACTCAGGGGCGCATACACTACCACTGAGCCATATCCACAGCCATATTTTGTATTTTATTTAGAGACAGGGATTCACTGAGTTGCTCAGGGCCTTGCTTTTGCTGGGGCTG